CGGCGCCTTTTCTTCCGATTGACGCGCTTATTAGCCGCACGAAAATCTCATTAACATAACGAGACCTCTTTCGCGCGCGATTAAGCGACCACGTTTGATAGTCTTGCAAATTTCAGCGTCTTTCGAAATGTACCAGCCGCGAAATGAAATTTCGGGTACACGCGGTAATCCTTTACGTTCGCTGCAACGCAAAATCACAGTCAACGTCCCCTGGTTGGCTGCAAATGCTTCTCGTAATTTATCTTCCGCCCCAAGGTCGTAAAATAAACGAATGCCTTTTTTGTAGCTGAATATATTATTCAGTATATATTAATCAAGGGCCGTCAGCAGGAAAAATATTTTGATGGAAACGCGTGACATTGTTTGCCACATCGTTCTCCTAGATAATACGCGGTAAAGCCGATCGACTCGCGCGTGAATTATTTGAAACAAGCGCCGCCGATCGAGCCGAATGGCTCGCACAAAAGGAAAAAGAAGGCCGCGATAAAGGTTAGTCGAAAGATAAAATTTCACGGGCAACGTTACCGCGCATAGATTGGCGGTCGTGGCTCGTCGATTCCGACTGGGAATTTTCCATATAGTACGATGCGTTGCACGGTGCGACACGAAGCTCAGTCAACTGACAGACCGTTAAACGATCGTATTAGTTTATGGAAATAACAAGCGCAAGTTGAGTCGATACGTAGGGAAATCGGCCGGTACAAACGGTGTGCAACGTGTCGGCGTGTCAGGAATATCGAAGCGCGGATAAAGCGGCGACGTGTGTGCGGCGTATAGGTGACGAGAGACGGTACGCGGGTGTCGCGGCCACACGAATCCAGTTGCGTTTTCCCTGCGCTCCATACGGAATGAATCGTGACGTTATCACCGACGATGGAATTAATTATTGGAAAGCGGCGAACGGTCAATTATTCACGGTTTTAATTAGCACGCTACCACCGGCTGGTACACTCTTGCTGCTCGATCGAACATCGTCGTTTCCCCGCAGACGGAAGATTTTTGCCGGGTTGCGATGCGTCGTATTAGCGTCGCCTGGCCAACGCAGTTTCGACGTTCTCGCGCTTATTTTCCCTTTCGGACGAATCGTTTCGTTAGCGCTGGATAAAACGAGCCGCAAATGTCGCACGCGATACGGTTCGCTGGCGCGGGATCGACTTCCGTCGGAACTCGACAGGCAGCCGCAGCTGTGCGCGTGCATCGTGCATGCCGAGTCAAAAAGTAAGCGATATCGCGCGCGTCGAATCGCAGCCACAGTCTACGCGCGATGTCGCTGTTCGAGCGTTCAGCCAAAACCGGGAGATCACCGCGTGATCGAATTCGCTCGCGTTCACCGTTTTTCGGTTCGGTTCGGTTCGACTCGGCTCGAGAGAAAAACCGGCGGAGTGTGGGCTCGGTGCGCGTTATACCGAAACCCGATACCGTCGCACACGGAAATGGTCGTTGTTCTAGATTCGAATGAAATCGATCGCGAAATAGCTTTTTCGCGCTATTTACGGATCACTTTGTTTCCGACCGCTGTGTCGCGACGTCACACGTTCCTATAGTTTCTGCGACGGGAGGAAATAGTTTGCCGCCGATCACGACTCGCGTCATATCCTGAAATACGATGTCGTTGCGCTAATTATGTCGTGGACGCGATGGACGCGTCACTTCGCTCGCCATGAACCCTAATAATTTCACTAGGCTGTAAACGGCAAGTAATCGAAGCGTTAAAGCGATGGGTCTTGCTATCATCGGGAAACAGCTAAACGTTTCACGTACAGAATTTCCACGCCTACCGTTTCGCTATTGTCGCGCGCGTTTATTTCACCGTGGTAGTGGTCCATTGATGATGTAGATTCGGCCCCTATCTAACTCGCCTCGATCTGGGTATTTGCTTGTTAAGTGACAGTATTGACGCGCGCGACAAGCAAATATCCATAATCGAGGATCGAGTAATTGGTTTCGTTCGAGCATGACTCAAAGTCCGTGCCCTATCACAGTCAAAGGTGAAGGACGAGCGACCGCGGGGCGCTCGATGGATCAAGAAACTCGTCTCGCTTTATTACTTAGAACGTAATTTAACGGGATAGTAAGTTAATTAAGGAAGGCAACGTGGCTGTGTTTGTATCCGCTCGAGAGAACCACTCGGTCGTCGTTGACTTTCGGCAGAAGAAAACAGAAAACGAATTAACGTTCAACGGGTGGAAACGTTGAAAATCGTTGATTAATTTCTCGATATTATTTCACGAGCAAAGCAACGGAACTTGTTGAACGAGAGCTCACAGACAAGGCGATTGTCGCGTCGTGTCGGTTTTTGTAATCGATCGTTTGACTTCCGGCATCCTGCTGACGATGTAGCAACGTCGAGTAAATGGCAACCCGATCGTAATATAATCGTCCGCGAAAACGCGATATTATTCTTCAACTTGAAAACTCGATTCGCCACTCGCCGCGAGTCCCGAATCTGGCTTTCTTACGCGAATTACTTTGGCCGGAGTTTACAAACGTTATTTAAAGTTTTCTAAGAACATTCGCGAGAGGAGTCTATCCGTACTCTGGCCGCGACCATCTCGTCCGGTACTTTCCGATTTCCCTACAATCGGAATTCTTGCTCGTCTCGCGGTTCTTTTGCTCTTGTTCTACCCTGCGCGCCATTTCTTAATTCAGGATTAATTCAATTTCACGCTGTCGACCGACGTTCACGTTTACTTCGCCATTGATTTCGCTGGGAAGTTGCACGCGATCGTCGCGTCGCAAGTAAAATACGAATGTAGCCCTAGACCGTTCGCAATGAGCTTCGTCGCCTGGAATCGATAGTTCTTTTTCTCGCGCGCTCGGGTTTAAACCGATCAACTTTCGACCCGCTCTCTTCCCTCTCTTCTCCTTCTTTCGTTCGTTGAGTTTTCCTTGACGGTGGAAACGGCGAGAAACGAGATCCGTTCGCGAGTTTCTCGTCGATGGCGATAAACGAAACGACCTCGCCGGAAAAAGCAGAGTATAATACATCCGTTAACGAGCAACGATCAAAGTTTCGGCAAAAGTACGTTGATTAAGCATAC